TCTCCTCCTCTGGTTCCCTGAACACAAACAAAACATCTCTTCATCTTTTAAATCAATCAGCAGAACTGAAATGATATTCCTTGTGAGGAAACCCCTAAATGACAAAGCTAGCAAACAAACGGATCATGACTGAGGTGCTGATAGAAGTTAAACCAGGACCCAGTTCTGCCTGATAACAGATTAGGAGCTTCCTCACCAACAGGGCAGGGGTTACTTCTAACCAGAAGTGCAATAGCAGCAGTGCAGGATAAATAATGGTTCCATAAATACAGGACATGGTTCTACTGGATAAGTATGGAGATGAATACCATTATAAACAGAGTCTTACTAATAGAGGAATATGATATATAGATAACTAGTGTATTGAACTAAATTTACAGCTGGATAATTACCGAATATAATATGCAGGTGGATATTACTATAAAAAGGGTTTTTACAGTTATGTACAATAGCATATATATAGATGGGTTTTACTATAAAATGAATAAATAAAGTTTGGATCATTGGATAATTTATCTAAATTAAAGTGCAGTGGAAGGTAATTGCATATTACAGTTAAAGTACGTTATTGCAAATGTATATATAAACAATCGGTACTGTGAATAAACAGTCGGCAGTGCAAATCAATATTCAGTCAAGGTGAGTAGTGCAAGATGCATTTAAACAGTTGTTACTATAGTAACAGGGACATTTTGGTAGCACTGACTTTAAATTTGAATGATTAAAATCACCTGCGACAATAAACGCAGCTTCTGGGTGAATCGTCTGTTGTTTACTGATTGCTGCGTGAAGTTCTTTCATCGCAGACTTATACCCCATTTACACTACCCTTGAAAACCCGATCCATGCCGAGACCGGTAACCAGGCCAAGCTTGGTTCTGACCACCGTTTACACATCACGCTATCTCGGTTCCTCGACTCCTAGTGGCGATTGCGGTATTACTGCCAGTATTGAAGGAGGAAATCAAGCAGTTTGTGGCGGTAATGCACCAAAAGTTGTTTGCCAACCGCCATAAAACACAAGAAGAAGATGACGAAGAAGTAGGGAATCAAGCAAATCAAAATGGCGGCGCCGGTCACATCAGAAAGTTATGCTTGATTATTATTGTTATTATTTAAAATGTTGCATGGAGAAGATTTCGATTGTTATTGTTCTTCTTCTGTTTTGTGTTGGTCGGCAAGCAACTTCCGGAGGGGCATTAACGCCAACTACTGGAATGGATGTGCAGCCAGACGGAGATGACGCGTTCTGCTCATGCGCTCTTGTTATCAGAGAACTGAGCCAGGGAAAAACCGAGCCAAGCCCACCTCTGGAACTGGTCTGCAGTTAGCGCGGTCCGGTTGTGTCTAGCTCGGTTTAGTTCAGTTTGCTTTCCATTTACACACGATAAGTTATCTCAGTTACTGAGCTCGGACCGGTCTCGGCACGGTTTTTCAAGGGTAGTGTAAATGGGGTATTAGTATCAGCACCCGGGGGAATGTAGGCTGCAGTAATAATGGTTGAAGTGAACTCCCGTGGCAGATAGAACCGTCTACATTAAACTCCAGGTTAGGTTGCAGTCTGTGAGCATCCGAATGACTTTCCATATCCTCCTGGTGTTGCTGGCATCATGGAAGGGGTCCTGGATCTTCTGGCTGTGGTTTTTCTTCCCTAATCTGATGGCAAGGATGCAGTTGGCTTTCATTGTCCTCAGAGCCTCTCTGTCATCTGACTTGAAAGCTGAGTTTGGTGCTTTTAGCGATTTCCGAACATCTCCATTTATCCAGGTTGGTCGGTTGGCCCGGGTGGTGATGTTCTTTGATGTGCTGACGTCCTCAATGCATTTCTTGGTGTAGGCTGACACAGTCATGGCATACTCATCAATATTTATGTTATTCAGAACAGTCCTGGAGTGTTTCCATGGCGCCCTCAGACCACACTCTGACCTCTTTAACTGTCGGTTCAGCCCTGATCAGCTGGGGCTTATATGTAGGGATAAGCATGACAGATAGGTGATCTGATGACCTGAGGTGGGGGCGATGGGGCTGCTCTGAATGCATCTTTGATGTTAGAGTAAACCAGGTCTAAAATGTTTTCACCCCGAGTTGCAAAGTCCACATGTTGGTAGAAATGAGGGA